GATTTTTTCTAGTTCCATCCATTTGCCTGCAAATTTCATGCTTTCATTGTTTTTCTCTGCTGAGTAGTACTCCATTGTGTATATGTACCACATTAAAAATTCTACTTTTAAATGAAAGAGCATTGCCTCTTTTACCTCGGGAAGAAACAAGAATGACATTTGTGGTGAATATAAATCTATAGCACATTTCCTCTCAGCTTTTTATTCTTCTTAATTCTGTAAAATACTTTTAAAACGTCACCGACTTAAATAAAAATGTATCAGGATAATTGTTCCACACAGAAACCTACTATGATCCATTTTGATGTGCTGGCAAGTTCTAGAGTGTCTGATGTGTAGTGTGTCCAGAAATGAATCTGGAGCTGATCATCAACTGCGAACGTGTTCTAAGGACACGGGTCACTGGGGCATTCTGAAAATGCTTCATCATGTTTCTTACTATGTTCTCTCCTTCTACCTTCAAGCTAGAGAAAATAAGTTGTGACAGCTCAGGCAATTTCCTTTGGATCTGACCTTTAATTAACTCATTCTTATATTCCTAAAGACCCTACTTCAGTTTGCAAGTTACTCATTAGCAAGTGTGAACATCACACCAGATTTGTGTGTATTCCAAAAAAAAACATTGATGAGATTATTTGGCCAAATGCCTTTAATCAATTTTTATATAACCAGTCCAGGTTGATTTTATTACACTTAGTTTTAATGATATAATATCTAAAACCATAACTAAAAGTATGGTTTTGTTTAGCTCATCTGAACTTAGTGTGAACATCCAATAGTCATATTACAATATAGTCCAGAACTCCTGGACTCAAACAATCCTCCTGCCTCAGCCTTCTGAGTAGCTGGGAATACAGGCACTCACCACCCCACCCAGAAACATCATCTATTAAAACAAATTCTTGAGACAAACACAACTAGTCATCAATTCCATGTTTCATATACAGAGTTATATCCATGTTGCAAATACCAGCAAACAGAGGATGAAGGTGAGAAATACTGCTTAAAAGTTAGAGCTTGGGCTAGGATACAGCTCAGTAGTAAAGTGCTTGCTTAGTCTAAACAAAACTCTGGTTTCAGTACCCAGCACTACCCACCCCACTGCTGCCACACACATGCACACAAATCTTTATTCATTGTCTTCCATAACTTGAGTTCCAATCCCCCAACATCAAGTAAGAAAGAAAAACAATTTTCCAGGGTGAAAATTTTAAATTGATGTGTGTGTGTGTGTGTGTGTGTGTGTGTGTGTGTGTATGTGTGTGTGTGTATCTTCTGTCTTATGTATATTAAATGATCATATGTAGTTACTGACAGTACCAAGATATCATTCACTACTGACACCCAAGCACTTTGCACTAAGACAACCTAGGGCAAAGTGAATGTGTTTATTCATTCATTTATTTACTCATTCATTAATTCACTTATTAATCCATATAAATTATCATCAGTCTGTTGCAATTAATCTATACTCTAAATCTTGGGGTGTGTGTATATGTGAGCAAGATATGTACATGCCCAGGTGTGTATGCAAGCATGCCTAATAGGGGCTGGTACAGTGTGTGCACACGTACATGGAGGCTAGAAGTCGATACCAGGTGTTGTCACTGTCCTCTACCTCACTTCTTTCTGAGAGACAGGAACTCTTAAAACCTGGAGTTTCTTGATTTTGCTGAAGGTCTAGCTAATGAGCTCCAAAGATATGCCTGTTTCCATTCCTCCAGCACTAGAGTTATAGATACAGTCTGTAGGTCGGGCACTTTACCTATTTAACCATCTCTACAGCTCTATGTACTCTTACCAATTCTTTTATATTCAAGCTCATCTCCTTTACCTATCAAATAGCAGAGGAAACTTTAGTTCTAAAAGTCAAGATCCTCAAAAAATTGTCTTTGCTTCACTTGTATTCACACATAGAATCTGGGTGTAAGGCTACATAGAATGACTCACCACAGTAAAAGGAGACCCCCGGGATCTATGTACTGGAGACTTTGATCCATTCTTAAGATGTACAGAAAAACATGGCTAAGTTCAGGGTAAATGAACTCCACACAGTGACCAATGCAACAGGGCAGCACACAATGACCTCAAGGTTCTTGATGAGACTAGATGATAAACAGCTCATTTTGTTTCCAATTCATTTACTTTTGAACTTTTTATTTTAATTCTTCAATATTTAATTTAGATATGCTCTCATGATGGCATTCTATAGGATTCATAAAAAATAGGCTTTAGTCTCCATAATTTATTATTTAGCAGATAGTATTTCAAGATTATATACTGAGCTTAAAGAAAGACCAGTGACTTTTTATAGAAACAATATATATTTAGTTTGACACTTTTATACTGTCCTCATGTAAAATTAATCTGGGCCAGAATGAGACTGCATAGGCAGCCTCGGCCCTTTCAGCAATGCAGACAGTACCATGACCTTCACTGCAAGGTTTAGGGGATCATAATTCTATCATTTTATCACTATTAGAATCTTGCAATGACATTAACTTTTAGTGTTACCGTATGTCTCTATGGCCAAATACCCAAGGTAGATCCCAGAATACAGAGATCACAGAATATCAGAAAATACAATTGAAAACAAAAAGGCAGTTAATTATTCAGAAATTTCAAAGCATTAAAAGAGTTGTGAGATTATAAGGCATGCATTGCTTAATTGAGTTACCAAATATTGCTTTTTCCCAACTAAGATTCTAGAATACACAGCCATCAAACTATCATGGAGGCAATGAAAAGAAAAGAGAAAGAATAAGTATGAAGTGCCCCAGGTAAGGAGCTTTTACTCTAGTTAAAAATCTCAAGTTTAAGAATTTACTGTGCATTTAGTGATGCCCACAGTACTAACAATTGCATCTATTCTGACTTATCACAATACTTAGTTGACACTTGATGGAACATAGAATGGAAACACACAAGTTCTCTCCCTCTTCTTTGAAAAGAAAATGTTGCAGAATTATAGAATATTCTAACAAAATATACTTAGAGGCCTTTAATTCTAAGTGTCATTGAATAGTCATGTTTATAAACAATCTGCTTATATTTTAAGGGCTAGCAGATAGTTGTTCCTATTTTGATCAATGTGATAGTGGGCAGCCATCAAATATTGCTTTCCACTACCTGGCTGGGCTGCAAGCACCTTAGTAGAAAAGAGAAGTGTTCAGCATTCTGCCAGGGAGAAACATAGAATGTGTGTGCCATGGGAGACTGCTTCTGCCTTTCTGAGACGTAAACATTAGGCTCAGCTGGCAGCCCCACATCTACAGCATCCCTCAGGTTTCAGGGGCAGCAGGACTCCCTGTCCAATTATCATCCCCTGCAGGACTCTGCAGTCTTAATTTCAGGGCACTCTTCTTTCTTCCTGATTGGACAGCAGGAGAAAGGGGATAGAGAGAAAGCAGTGGGCATTGTGAGTGTCCAGATATTCATTTGCAACCTTTGTTGGAAATTTTTGCACCAATATATTAGCATAAAACATCACTACAATGCATAAAAACTGTGTCTCCAAAGACTCTTAAATCATTATTCCCAAGGTTGCAATTATCATGAGAGATAAAGAGAAGTTTTATAAATTAGAAACACAAAAGAAAACTTGAATAGAATTTCAAAGGACAGTTAATTAAGGCACTCTGGCAGGAAAGCTACTGAGTTAATACTGGGTTATCAAAATAAACATTGAATGGTTTTAGGGAAAATGTTTGTAATTTTAGAAAAAATCCTTACCTCCCTTATAGAAGAAGAGAAAACAGCCTCACCTGCCAGAATTGAGACATGGTACAATATAATATTGGTAACACCATAAAGCAAACCTGATTCAGAAGAGCTCCCAGTAGAACAGTGACCTGAGAGCTCCTTCCTAAGACAGTGACAGCCTTCTGCCTCTCAGGCCCCCAGCATTAAACACCATCTTCTATGAAAAAGTGCTAGAGAGTCTGGCAGCAGGAAGTGAGAAAGGCTTGGACTGGCTAAATCGGGCTGTATGGAATACTTGAATCCATATCAGAACCAACAATACATGTATAACATAACACTCTAAAGCAAAGCTGGGTAGCCCCTGTTTTCCTGGTTAGACTCTAAGTACTCTGGGCTAGGGATGTACCAACTTCCAAAAGGGCCAGATAAATTGTCTCAGCATTACCGGCAAACCCATCTCTAGGGCCACTTTTTTTTTCAATTTTTATTTATTTATTTTTCTATTATCAGCTTGATACAGTACAAATTCTTATCCTAATAGTGAAATGTTTCATTGAAGTTTGCCCAGTAATTGAGTGAAACCAAAACTTATTATAAGCCACAGTCATCCTAGGGTCCCCCCTTCTACATAGCCTCCCTGGTTCTGTGGGCTGCAGTCTGATTGTTCTTTGCTTTATATATAGTATCCACTTATGAGTGAGTACATACCATGTTTGTCCTTCTGGGTTTGGGTTACCTCACTCAGCATGATATTTTCTAGTTTCATCCATTTGCCTGCAAATTTCATATCATTGTTTTACTCTGCCAAGTAGTACTCCATTGTGTATATGTACCACATTTTCTTAATCCATTCTTCAGTTGACAGGCATCTAGGTTGTTTCCAAGTTTTGGCTATTATGAATAGTGTTGCTATGAACATAGTTGAGAATGTGTCCTTGTGCTATGATTGAACGTTCCTTGGGTATATGCCCAAGAGTGGTATGGCTGGGTCTTGAGGTAGATCGATTCCCAATTTTCTGAGAAACTGTCATACTGATTTCCACAGTGTGTTTGCATTCCACCAACAGTGGAGGAGTGTTCCCTTTGCTCCACATCCTCTCCAACATAGACTGTCATAAGTGTTTTTGATCATAGCCATTCTGACAGGTGTAAGGTGGTATCTCAAAGTCAATTTGATTTGCATTTCTCTGATGATTAAGGATGTTGAGCATTTCTTTAAATGTCTTTGCTGCAATAGCTATGAGCCATACATGGAATACATTAAACCAAGGAGCATGGCTCCAGTCTAATAAAATTGTATTGACAAGTCGTGTGCAGATGTGGCCTCCAGGAACATGCCTACCCTTTTATCTAGGTTTTAATGGATTGTGTCTTGATGTTCTTGGTTCCATGACTTGTACAGATAAGTAGAAATAACCAACCTAATAAACACACTTAAATGTATAACTTCAATACAAAGACAAATATAGCCATCCCTGAAGGTGGGTCAGTATTTAAATATTTCACAAACATATAATTTTTCCTTCTGAAAATTTCTTATGGACAGTGAACCTGGTAGCTTCATAGTATACAAGAACATAAAGGGTGATGATTGAGAAATAGGTACTCATCTGTGGGGATCTGCCCCACTGGGAACTTAGGTCACCTGTGAAGAGGTGGCCTGGAACCCAGGAAAGGTAAGTGCATGCTGCTCGCTGGTTCCCCAGCCTCCCTCTTACCCAGAGACAATCAGAGGCAGTTGGGAGTCAAGTCAAGCAAGAACTCCTTTATTGATAGGCAGCAAGCCTCTTTTATACCAAAAAAAACTCCAAACCCAAGGAGAGGGTGAAGGAACCAACCAATCATTTTAAAGGTCACCCTATTTACAAATTGTTTATGCCCTGACATCATCTCCTGTTTTTAGTATCTTATCTTAGCATAAATAACTTGAGCTAGCTTCCTTCCTCACCATTCCTCTCTAATCTCCATACAAACAACCCAAGCTAACTTCCTCTTAGCCATCCTTTATATCGATTCTCTGCATAAGCAGCTTAAGTTAACTTCTTCTCCATACCATCCTTTGTATATACTTTCTTTGTAAACAGCTTAAAATAACTGCTGTGGGATGGTCTGTATGTCAAATGTGTTGCTCTGTTTGGTCAATAAATAAAACACTTATTGGCCAGTGGCCAGGCAAGAAGTATAGGTGGGACTAACAGAAAAGAGAATTGTGAGAACAGGAAGGCAGAGGGAGACACTGCCAGCCGCCGCCATGACAAACAGCATGTGAAGATGCTGGTAAGCCACAAGTCACGTGGCAAGGTATAGATTTATAGACATAGATTAATTTAAGACATAAGAACTAGATAGCTAGAAGCCTGAGCCAGTAGATCAAACAGTTTAAATAATATAAGCGTCTATGTGTTTATTTTATAAGTGGGCTGTCGGACTGCCAGGGGCTTGGTGGGACCCAGAGAGAAAACTCTCCAGCTACAACTAACTTCCTCTAGCACCATTTGTATCTACTCTCAGTAAAAGCAGCTTAAAGCTTAAGCTCTATTTGTCTAACTGCACTGAGAGCAGAGACCCATCTGCTCCTTATGAAGGGAGGTGAAGATGCTTTGTAGTGCCTGAGGCAGCAGATTGAAGGATTCGTTCATTGTGAGGTGCATAACCTCTTCCCGTCCTTGCCTTCATTTTAGGGCACCATTGTTAGCAATGCATCAGTAGACATTGGAATTCAGTGGCTAGTCAATACGGATGAAGCATCAAACCTCTTGGTGCTCAAACCATACAAACCTTTTGTCATCTTCTATCTGAAACATATTGATATTTATTCAAAATTTTCACTACGAATACCAAGCTATATGTCATTTTGTAGAGAGAAAGTGGCATTAGCAGTCATTTTATATTTAATAAGAAAGAAATGGGTTGAGGTGTTGAGCTGGGCAGTGGTGGTGCACGCCTTTAATCCCAGAACTCAGGAGGCAGAGCTAGGCAGATCTCTGTGAGTTCGAGGTCAGCCTGGGCTATGGAGTGAGATCCAGGACAGGCACCAAAACTACACAGAGAAACCCTGTCTCAAAAAAAAAAAAAAAAGAGGAAGAAGAAGAAGAAGAAGAAGAAGAAGAAGAAGAAGAAGAAGAAGAAGAAGAAGAAGAAGGATAGAAATATGTTGATACTTGGGGTCAGTGACATGGTTCAGTGTGTAAAAATGCTTTCTGCCATGCTTTCACCTTGAGTTCCCTTCCCACAAACCACATGATGGAAGGAGGGAACCAATTCATATTGTCCTCTGACCCACATATGGCACGAATGCATCTGCACACATACATAGACACACACACACACACACACACACACACATACACACACAAACACACACACGCACACACACAGACCTGCACACACACATGTGCACACACATGCACGCACACATACACGCACACACACATAAAAAATGCAATAAGAATACAAAATATGTTTTTACTTGAAAT